AACGGAATATTTTATGAAAACTGCGTCACCTGAAGACGACAAAATATAACGATACAAAATTCTCACAATAATTGTCATATGTTGAAGTATCCATTGTCAATATAGGAACAAATAAATATAAATGTTTGTTGTTATAAATTACATTTTTCGCTCCACCCTAATACACACATCATGATATAAATAAATTCTACCACTTTTTATGCTCTGTAAATGGATGTATATACATATCTGTTAATTCTATTATTAAGTACATTTATAATTAAACATTATGAAAGTAATTTATTTGAACAGTAAAACCATAGATTAATATAGATGCGACATTGAGGCTGATTTTGCAAAACCACCCTTATTGACATTGGAGTCCTCAACCGCCATGGGCAAGCGCCAAATTTAAATAGTCGATGGCAACCTTGTTTCACTATAATTATTGTAATTCGTGTGATCTAAACGAAAGTGAAGGAAACAGTAAGCAGCTTGTAATATTCTGGTAAATCTAGTGTCAATTTGTCGAAAATAAAACGCGTCGTTAAAAATATTCTGACATTTCTTCCAGTTAATTTTATTCCTAGTTAGAAACAACATAGCATAAATTGAGGAGTTCTCGACCGTCATTTGATTTAAACTATGACGCTTCTCTATGTTCTCTGGTAAAACTATATAATTAGTTTAAAATACCTTCATACAAAATGTTTTTCGTCATACGTTCAGTTAATGACTTTTCCACAGTAAAATCATAGCAATTTTTGTAAACAATAAATTCTTTATGCTTATTTTTCATAAGGTTTATATTGTCGAGAAAACTCTCTCTACATTCGCAGAAGAATGGGGCAGACATAGTAAATTAAAAACAAAATTTAAACATAAGAGTTCCATCACCCAAGATCATTTTGTGAGTTTTTTGCCAAAATATTATTTCTATGTCATCAGAGAACGATGGAATTTCCACCGTATTTCGTAGGAGACGCCACTCTATGTCTAAAGACTGAATGTGTGAATTTTTTACTAAACCAGGGTACCAGGGAAAAGAATGGCTATGTCAGCAATGGTCTGAACTGATCCAGCTTTAACTACTGCAGCGTCTAAAAAATTAAAATTTTCTCCCGGCTTATCTTTAAAGGGAATTGTTTTATTATTTGACTACATCCTTCAATATAAAAAACACCTTAGCCTAAAAAAATGAAGTTGCTCTTGTGCAAATGATGTTTCAGATATGGTTTTTAACACCTCAAGCCCAAAATACAGGCCCTTAATTTCCAAATAATTTCTGGGATTCTGAAAATCTACATTTTCCACTGAAGTAATTTGTAAATAATTTCGTTTCATAAAACAGTCAAAAGTGTTCGTAAAATGTTACGTATATTTTTGTACAACGTGTTATTGAAAGGTACGTACAAAATAAAATCGTCAATTGGTCTAGAAGTATGTTTTATGGAGAACATTACATTACCATGGACTTTATTCTTACCATGTGCAACGAGTTAACACTTCGAAATCAGAAGATCTACCGCCCGAATGAGACTTTATGAATGGTTGCTTGAGAGGAGTAGAGCAGACCTACGTTTTGTAGCGACGATTTTTTCTACAGACGAAGCGACATTTACAAGGAACGGTTTAGTGTAATAGTTGGCAATAATTTGGTAGGCCTTTACATTTTACCCCCTCGCTTAACAGCAATAGCATATTTGCAATTTCTTAATGAACATTTGCCAAATCGGTTAGATGACATCCCTTTAGCTACCCGTCAAGACATGTGGTATCTATAAGATGGAGCACCTGCTCACAATGCTCGAGAAGGCGGCGATGGTTTGATCAACATTTTCCAAGACACTAGATAGGACGGAATGAGCCAGTGTTATTGCCACCTCGCTCTCCGGACCTTAATCCATGCGATTTTTTCTTGTGGGAAATTGGTTTATAAAATTCCCGTAAATACAGTTCAAGAACCAATAAATCGGATTCAGAATGCTGCAGCGGAGATTAGGAGAAATCCTGACATGATACCTCGATTACAACCGTCATTAATTCGGCGTGTGGAGGCATGTATTGCCAATGAAGGCCGTCATTTTGAACAATTGCTTTAATTCGTTAAGTTTATTTTTATGCTATTGTCATGTATTTTGTATGTATTTTTTAATCGGTTTTTACCAGTTTTCATATTTTTCGACTTTTTACTTACTCTGTATTATCATAGAAACATTTTTTATCCCAAGGGTCAAAAAGAGCCACTTTAGTCTCGATTTTTCAGTAATTGCTTTTTAAATATGGGGTATTCCATACCAAATCGACCACTTTTTAACCCGACCCCTTTTGATATGCCTGAAAGTTTTTCTTCCTTTTCTATCCTATAAAAGACGTTTCTCAGAATTTTTTCAATTTTTTTTACCCGACTCAAAAAAAGTTATGAATTTTTGAAAAAAACCGCTCATTTTTTTTTGAACTGCTAGAACTTTTTCAAAAATTGACCGTTTGGGACCGTTTTTTTTTCAAAATTTTTGTTTTTAAATGTACTTTTCGGAAAAAAATATATCAAAATTTTTAAAGTTCATCTTATAAGAAATTTTTCAGTTTTTTGAGAAAAACCATCAAATTTTCGAAGTTCGCCATTTTTTATTTTTTATTTTTTTTTCTCATAAAAAACTTCAATCAATTCTCCAATTATCCCCACTAATCCCGGAGTGGGCCGATTCTTTTTTCTATTTTTTTTATTTAATTGAAAAAAAAATTTGTTTATTTTCAAAAGAAAAAAATTTTTTTTTTTATCTATATTATTTATATTACAAAAGAAACATAATTAAATGATTTTCAGGTAATATATTTTTTATTTATAATCTTAATCTACGATTAATATGACTGAGATTCAAATCTTAATACGTCAATCGGATCGATAAACTAGGGTATGACAATTACAGACTTACCTATAGCCAGTTTATTCGATACACGCAAGTATGTTCTAATCCATAAATCTATACGGTTGTCTTAAATTGAGAGTTAGAACATAACCCATAAATCTTCAGTGCGTTTTAGTATTGAATTAAAGATTATTGTCATTATATTTGATTAATAAAAAGAACAATTTTCTCTAGTTTATGAACATTCTTCTGATTCATTGTTTTAGAAGCGATAATTATTTTGATTATACTTATCTACATTTATCAAAATAATTTCATCGAAACATTATGGCATCAAATAAGCAATTCGATCGATGTTGTAATCCTTATTATATTATATATATATATATTATAAATAAAAAATATATTACCTGAAAATCATTTAATTATGTTTCTTTTGTAATATAAATAATATAGATAAAAAAAAAAATTGTTTACTATTGAAAATGAAAAGATTTTTTTTTCAATTAAATAAAAAAAATAGAAAAAAGAATCGGCCCACTCCGGGATTAGTGGGGATAATTGGAGAATTGATTGAAGTTTTTTATGAGAAAAAAAAATAAAAAATAAAAAATGGCGAACTTCGAAAATTTGATGGTTTTTCTCAAAAAACTGAAAAATTTCTTATAAGATGAACTTTAAAAATTTTGGTATATTTTTTTCCGAAAAGTACATTTAAAAACAAAAATTTTGAAAAAAAAACGGTCCCAAACGGTCAATTTTTGAAAAAGTTCTAGCAGTTCAAAAAAAAAATGAGCGGTTTTTTTCAAAAATTCATAACTTTTTTTGAGTCGGGTAAAAAAAATTGAAAAAATTCAGAGAAACGTCTTTTATAGGATAGAAAAGGAAGAAAAACTTTCAGGCATATCAAAAGGGGTCGGGTTAAAAAGTGGTCGATTTGGTATGGAATACCCCATATATTTCTTGAGAAAGAGTTGCTTTCTATTTGTGAAATCCAGTACAATGAATTATTAGACATAAATTGGTCTAAAATTATAAATATGTAATGACATTTTACAAAATTCATATAATTTCTGGGCTTTTCTGGTCGACTTTAAAGAGGCAGGTGGAAATTTGATTTTTAAAGAATTAACTTTTTTTACACTAACAATATTATCTCTCCCTTCATCAAACGTCGTAGTTGAACGTGTCTTCAGTATGATGAATGCCATTAAATGTAAATTGAGAAATAGAATGCAATTTAACATGCTCACAATGTTACTTAGAATTAGAATTTATTAATAAGTATAAGAATCAAAATATGTTGTACTGATTTTGAACCCTCCAAGGAAATGATTGAGAGATTTAATAGTTCAATGTACAAAAAGTCTGATAGTGAAATCACTAAAAGTGATATTGAATTTATAACTGAATTTAATGATGACTGTGATAGTGTCCTTGATGTTGTTCCTTGTATTAATTTATAATTTTAGAAATAATAACGTAGGATTTTTGTTTGCGTTATAAGAATAAATTATAGTTTTTATATTTTGTGTTTTGAGACTTTTGTAAAATAAAAAAATTATATTGCATCTTTTTTTATTATAACAAATCTGTATATACATATATAATAAATCAATATTACGTGCAAACTTATTGCGAAAAAAAAAGTTTGCGACTTTTGGCTACTTTTTGAGAAAATATTGGCGACTATGACACATAGAAGTCTGACAACACTAGAAGTGACAAGCAGAGGAAAAGAGGGAAGCGCGGGCTTGTCAGTTAGGTTATTGTCCTAATACAGAAGTAAATGTAAAAGTTATGTCCATATTCACTCTCAATTGTATCTAGTTAATAAAGTGGTACAAGTAGACTGAAGAGACTCTACAACTGGCGACGAGGGTAAAGTATATGAAGGCGCCACAAGCAACACAGGAAAGAGAGGGGGCGAAAGAAGCATCCAGTACTTGGGTCCTTATACATAGAATGGCGTTAATCGGAAGTATCCACAATTTCACTACAAGAGGATACAACTGGATCCTATATGGGGAACAGTTTGAGCAGTTTTTTCAGGTGAACAATATCAAGGATGTAGCCGTAACCGAAACAGCGCCAGATTAGAACAAACTGGTTGCCGCGCTTTTAACTTTGACAGGGCTCGACACCTACCAAATGTTGCGAGACTTGTGCACCCCGCAGACGCCGAAGGACAAGACGTACGAAGATGTGCACGCTACTGGGGGAAAATTTTTGACCGACCACATGTACGTATAGAGAAAGAATCGAATTCTATAACGCCAGGCAAGAAGAAAACGAAACAATCAACGTGTAGGTAAGCGAAGAAAAATGTTGCTGTCTCGGTGAGAATCGAACTCCACGCCTACCGCGTGCCGGGCAGGTATCCTGACCACTGGACCACGAGGACGCTTACCTTACTTCCCTACCCTCCCAAATTAAGGTATGCATTTTTGAAGAGAACAATATTGAATTAAAATTTAAAAGCGGCTTTATGAACAAAATGTTGGATTTTACAGGAATCAAGAAAATATGGTAAAAAGTTCTTTAGGTGTAAATATTGTGATGAAGATTTCATATCAAAAAATTTTATGAGACACTTGGAGAGACTTCATGGAACAGAAACGGCGGTACAGGATATATTAAAATACCCCAAAAAGAGCAAACAAAGACGTCAAGCACTCTCTTTGTTGCGAAACGCAACAAATTTTGATTTATATATAGGCGGGACAGTTCGACCAAATCGAAAAATTAAAAAGCAATGTACGAAGGAAGATTATTACGCTCGTACTGCAAAGGTTTATTTTTAAAACCTATCTAAGACGACATAAAAAATCATGCATCTCACAAAAGTCAGCAACAGTCAGAAATAACAGCAACAATTTGTCGCAATCACAGACGTTAGTAGCTTGCGCTATTGATCCAACTGACACTATTTCAAAACTAAACGTAAAAAAACAGGTTAGTAAACTGACCACTCGTTTGTACGCATAAAAAAGTTAGTACTGGTGTTTTTGTAATTGAAATTAAAAAAAGTCTGATCGTAATGCATACGTGTTCGATCAAATTTTTCATTCTGAAGAACTTTTCTCTGCGTCACATTCGGCCGACGAGAGGCACTAATATTGAAAAAACGAAAAATTCGGTCAAACGTGGCTGCACTGCAACTGCACTCTAAATTTTTATTTTGCAATATTTTATGGTCAGGTATTTGATATGATGAAAGGAGATGATGTAGCTTTTGAGGCTAAAAAGGACCTTTTGATTACCCACTTTGAAGAATCTTACTTGAAAAAGCATAAAAAAGAACAAATGATGTACCCATGTAGCAATAGAATGCGAGAACTCGCTCGACTTTTAATTCGATATCGGCAAATTGTGAATAAAATAAATATCTCTTTTAAAGAACTTTTGCATCCAAAAAACTTTGATGCCGTTGTATTGACCACTAGAGAAATTGCTGGCTACGACCCAGAAAAAAAGACCTTCAAAGCGCCAAGCTTGGCTATGCACATGGGCACCTCATTGAAAATGGCTTGTGATGAATTGAGTCACTTAGTTCTAAAGGAAAGTAGAGGTTACACATGTGCGTCATCAACAGAATTAAATTTATGGCTAAAAAGCATAAGGAATTTTAAGAGACTAGTGGAAGCGCGATGGAATACGAAAATTTCTTCGCTCGCGCATAAAGATTTGCAGGAAAAGAAATGGAGTAAACCTCTCCTTGTGCCTTTGGTCAGCGATATTAAACATTTTCGCGATGAATGTATCAAAATCGCAAATGATTGTAAGGAACTATTTTCCGAGAATAAAGACGATATTAAAACTTATACATCGTTGGTGCAATGCACCTTAGCTTTGTTAATAATATTTAACAAAAGGCGCATTGGGGATGTACAATTTTTAAAAATAAAGGATTATAATAATGAAGTTAAGAGTAGTTTTGAAGACTTTGAAAACGCTCTAACTGAGACTGAAAAAATGTTGACCACAAAATACAAAAGAGTAGTTAATAGTGGTAAGGGATCTCGAGCAGTGGTCATTTTAATCCCCGAAATATTACAAAGTTATATAACAGTACTTCTTGAATTCAGAAAAAAATATATTCCCCCTGATAACGATCACGTGTTCGCAATTCTTGGCAGCAAAGTTCAGTGGGGGAAGGGCGACGTCGCCATTCGAAAACTTACAAAAGGCATGAAATTAGATAATCCTCAAACGATAACCAGTAACAAGTTAAGGAAGCACATAGCAACTGTTACCCAACTACTGAATTTAACTCAGGAAGAAGCAAAACAGTTTTCGGCCTTCATGGGACATACCCAAAAAACTCCGAATTTTACGAGTAAGTAGAATTATTTTTGACTTACTAGTTAAAATTAGGTAAACAGAGTTGGTTTTAATGGTATATTATGATTTCTATTTTCAGGCTACCAATAGATATATACCAGACTGCTAAAGTATCCAAGCTGTTACTCTTTATGGAGAAAGGGTCTCTTCCTCTAGAATATAAAGGAAAATCGCTAGGGGATATCAATTTTGATTCAAATTTAGAATGTGCCATGGAAAGTGATAATGAAGGTAAAGCTACTACAAATTCATAAAAATTAGAAGTTAACTGTGTTGTTTTAGAAGATGGTGGCGCACTTACTTCAAATGTAGTCGTTCATGAACGATGTGTGCCAGATGAAGTAAAAGCCAACTCATCTCAAAATAATACTCTTGTTTTTAATAGGTCCACATATGAAAATGTTGGTAAGTCTTATACATATTTGCAAATTTCTATGTATGTGTGAAGTAGTTATTGTTATACCGAATACTTTTGTTACTAAATAATGTAAATATCAACTTAAGCCGAAATATTACAGATACTTATGAAAATGAAGAATATGAAGAGAATCGAGAAATGTTTGTAAAGAAACCCACTAAAAGAACAGGTAAACTGCGATTGAAATAAAAAAAAATGGTAAATATATATAAAGCGCTAATTGACTTTAAATTTTAGTTTGGTCTAAGGAAGAAATAGCAGCTATAAGAAGCAATTTTAATTCATTCATAAAAAAGAAAATTTATCCATCAGGGGAAACATTAAAGGAATTTTTAAAAATAGAAACATAGAACTGTAGCCATGTTAAAATCAAAACTTCAGCATTTGATGAAGAAGTCACAATTATAATTTTTTCTACGATCACCACTGCAAATCGTTAAGATCACACAACTCGCTAATCATGTATGCGTGTCCTTACGCACAGCGTGCGTAAGAAAAGCAGATCGCACAGTTAGGGATTTTTCGATTTATTCAATTTAGGTTGGTAGTGAAAATGACAAGACGGACAGGCAAATACAAAATTGTGAAGCACTGTCAGCGTTACTGTTAATAAAAGAGGCATAATCAAAGAATTTTAAAAGAAGAAAACGAACAAGGTAACATTTACTGCAAAAAATATCAACATTTCTCTCTTTTTACGGATTCTATTTAATTGTAGCCGAAAATGTCTAGCGATAGTGATAAATTAATGTGCACGCCGCCGGAGATAATTGAAAAGGCCAAAACGGCTATCGACAATCTTTTGCCCACAAAGTCGCGTGAAAGATATGAAATCGTCTATCAAAAATTTATGAAATGGAAAATAAAAAATAAAGTAAATTCGTTGTCAGAAAACGTAATGTTGGCATATTTTGAAGAGTTGTCAACTACAATGAAACCATCTTCTCTTTGGCCGATATATTCAATGTTAAGGGCTACAATAAACATAAAACATGACAAAATCAACATTGCCACTTATCCTAAATTAATAGCTCTACTAAAAAGAAAAGCAGATGGCTTTAAGAGCAAAAAGTCAAAAACTTTAACAAGCAAAAATATAAATGATTTTTTACAAAATGCTCCAGATACGCAATATCTATTTATGAAGGTATCTCACATCTATGTTATAACCTCATAAATATAACATTTTGTTTTAGGTTGTTCTTATCATTGCGGTTAGTGGTGCATGCAGAAAACAGGAGTTGCGAAATATTAAACCTGAACATGTGCAAGATACTGGAGAATCATTAATTATCACCATTCCTGATTCAAAAACAAAAACTCAACGTTCTTTTGTTGTACCTAAAACTTTTTATTCAACTTGTAAGAAGTATATGAACCTACGTCCTTCAGGAGATGATACAAAATCACTACCTTTTCTTTTAAATTACATAAACCAAAAATGCACCCAGCAGTGTGTCGGCATAAATAAGATTGGTAGTGTACCAAAAAATATAGCAGAATATCTTGGTTTACCAGATCCAAAACAATACACTGGTCATTGTTTCAGGCGATCGTCTGCCACCATCCTAGTTGATGCTGGCGGTGATTTGCTAGCATTAAAAAGGCATGGTGGATGGCGGTCGTCGTCGGTAGCTGAAGGCTATGTAGATAATTCAGTGAAAAATAAAACCGACAATTCACTAAAAATCGCATCTGCGATAAACAACAGTCCTACTACATCAAATAATCATGTCACTATTTCAGAACATAATGTGACTGCATCCTGTAGTCAGAGTACAAGTAGCCACAAAACTAATACTACCGACCATTCCCTTGTGCTTAACAACTGTGCAATGACAATAAACAATTACTACAAATAATTACAATATCTAATAAAACTAAAATGTTAATGTTCATGAATAAAATGAAAATTTTTTTCTTTGTCTGTGCTCGTAGAAAAAGTATAGTACATAATTCGAGTTGTAAAGCCTTTACGCACTCATGGAAATACGCAACTTTTTCCATTCGTGCGTAAGATGCTTCTTACAACTCTTATTACGTAATATACTAATTTTGTAATAAAGTTTTGCTTATAAAAAATGTATCACGAGGCTTGTATTTCTTTTTTTTTATATATTCTACTCTGCTTCTTAGAATTAAATATGGCAAGCGCGGCATAAAGTATAAGTGTAATATTCACACTAGAATGTGAACCCCGAAACAGTTATTTTTTATGTTTTTTTAATCGTATGAGAATATGCGTTTTTTGCCCGAGACCGAAGATAAAATACAATTTAAATTCGCAGGTTTATTAAAATTTATAAGGGAACAAGATTGAGTAGGCTTCCTTTCATTCTTTACTAAGGAGATAGATCACAATCCACAAGCTTGCCTATCACTTGCTATTTATAATTGTCAAGTGCAATTTTCACACAACATGTCCAGCGAAAGCGAACAGGAGCGTTCGTGTACCCCCTCAGATGTGTACGAGACGGCAAGTACCGCCATTCACAACTTACTACTTGAAAAATCCAAGAAACAATACGAAATCACCTATAAAAACTTTAAAGAGTGGTGCTTAAAAAAAAGTGGGGAAAACGTCAGAAATAGTATATTATTAGCCAAGGTTGCAGAGCCAAGCATTCTAGACCGAGCGCAAATTAGAACCCGAGACGCGCAGCGTCGAGGGCTCTGAAGCGCGAGGTCTAGAAGTGGCTTTGCAACCGTGGTTAATATACTATTTTTTTCACTAGTAGAAACCATAAGACAATAAACTGAAAAAATAAACGTTCAATTTTTTGACGCAACATGATTTTGTTTTGATTTCTAATCAAACTTAATCTAAATCTTCAACACAAAGAAAACCGTTTATACTTGTCGCTGAGTTAATCATTTTATCTTCTACCGTCTACCAACTACCATGCGTATACTCAAGTAATGTTTGTAGCACACATTTGTTCATTTTTTAAGAAATAATCACATCAAACATTGCGTACATAACCTCAATTTTTCTTTTTGAACCGGTGGTCGCAAAAGTTGAATTTGCTACCTCTAAATGAGTCGACATTTGCATGCGTCATGGCTGCTAGTGAAAAAAAGTCTTTTTCTACCGCCCACGTTTTTTGGTTTTCTAATAGAGCTATTAACGCACGCAAATGACGTCACAGCAGTTCGTTAATAGCGGAAAGGCGTTCTTTAATAGATCTGGTATAATTTACATCGGTAAGATTGGTAGCCATGACGAGCAATGTCAGGTGAATGTCAGTGGCAAATGTAAACTTAAAATTTCCCATGTTTCCGGACACGTAACTTCTTCACAAGACATTTTAACCAATTTTAAATTACAAAAACTCGAATTGATTCCAATTACAGTTGTTATTGTGAAAATTCGAACGTCAAATATTTCGTGGTTAGTGTCAGACCAACCCATCACCAACCACAACAAAAGTCCCCAGATTAAAAAAATTCAAATTTCAATTAAATTTTGGGAAAAAACGTGTGCGGTAGAAAAAATAGTATAAATAACTCGTTCATAAGGCCATTGAGGCACTCATCCTTTATATAACTCCCGGCTTCGCCGCTCGTTCTATAAACTTGGATTCGTGCCTCAATATTTGCCTTATGAAACTCGTTCTTTAATATACTATTTTTTCACGCTGCCAGGAGCAACGGTATCCAATGTTTAACCGTAAAAAAATCTAGTACTTCGCACTTCGAAACCCGTCAAAAATGTAACTATGTAAACTACCTAACTAATAATTTTGTTAGATTTTCAGTAAGTCAATGGCAGATGGATTAAAATTCTACTCATCTCGGGGAACACCTGGTTTAGAATCCTGCGATGGCACAATTGCCTTGTGCGAACGCATTCATTGCATGTTTGATTCCTTACATAGGAAAATTCCTATTCAGGGAGTGAAACCAGGTTCGTCCGAATTCATAGTGTTATAAAATTCCATTGAATGGATAGATACTTGGGAAAGTAATTTAAAGCATGGCCTAATCGAAGAAACCCAGTTTCGCACTAAAAACACTGCAGAAGGATTGAGAGTTACTTTGCATTCAGATCGAGATCTTTGCCTGTATCTAACACAGAAGTACTCATTTTCTTACCTACTGCCGGGAAAAGTAAATCAAGATCCTTTGGAGGCAACGTAATATAAAGGTTTTACAACGTTGTCAAATAATATGTAATTTATCCTTTCAGAAATTTTTTCGTACCATAAGAATAGCAGGACGTCAAAACCACCATCCGGCCACGCCAACTTTTTTGGAGTTATACAAACTTTTATCTGTTTACGCAGTACTTAAGCCTCCAAAGTATGGCAACTGCATGTTAACTAGTGCAGATAATGCTCCGCGTACACTTCTGTCATTAGAAGATGTCAACATGGTTTTGCGAACAAAATCGCGCCACCTACAGCTATGGAACATCTAAAAAAACGCCTTAATGGTCTCATTCAACATACCAATCATGAAGTTGATGAGGTTCTGCAACACGACACTTCATTTGCAAACGTAAAACAGTGCGTGGTTTATTATATCACTGGATATCTCTGCAAACAAATTCAAAAACATACAAAATGTTCAGTTTGTTTGCAGAGAATCAGAACAGAACAATGATACTCACGAGAAACGGTAGCACAGTTAACCAATTTAAAAACTTATGGGGAATTAATTCATCCCAATATAATTTTTTTTTACTTAATTAATACCATAGAAACAGTATTTGCCAGTTTCGTACACGAAGCAGATGTATTTGAAAAGACGTTGGACTATTTAATTGACACTTAAGCTTTTCATTTTGCTTGTGCAAAACATAATGAAGAAATTTTATTTATGTTATACGATATTATTTAAATATGAAAATGAAACAATTTTTAAGAGACCATAATAAGGACAATAAAAAAGAAAGTGCAGAAAGAAGAAAGAAGTCGGAATTTGCTAAACATTAATGTGGTTGAAAAGTTATAACAAGTTAGTAACTTCATATATCAATTTCGCTGAAAGCATTTTTTTTTAAACAGTCTTAGAAAATAGTAAATAAGTACTGAGACACTAATAGTGCTATTCTGTAAAAATCACTTTACATTATGTTAAATTAACAGACTGTTAGTAACAGTGCTCTGTACAGTCGACGTTAACAGACATTATGTTTTTTGGAATTCTCTAAGCTACTCTGTTACGGTCACTGTAAAATTTTATCATTAGTTCAAAAATGTTATTTTGAAATTGTCAAATACTGACATTTTAAAAACGTCGTGGAGTTTTCGTGAATTCGTGAATCAGCTAATTGTAATGATGGAAGGCGAACCGGCAAATAAACGAAAAAGGAGCGGCAAGACTAGCCATGAACAATACGAACTGTACCTGAAACATATGGAAGATGACCCTATCTTCAGAACGGGGACTATTAACCCAACGGTCAATCCCGATCATGTAAGCAAAAAATGGGAAAACCTGGCAATTGCTTTAAACTCGACTGGCATTGGGCCCGCCTTGGCAGTTTCCGAATGGAAAAAGGTAACTCTGAAGTTACATAATTAAATGAACTCATTTATTAGCGAACCCGATAAAATTATAAACCGTCAGTGAAATACATTAGTAACATTTTGTGTTTTACAGCGCTTTAATGATTGGAAAAACGCCACCAGGGCAAAGTATAGGAAATGTGTGGTGGAAAGAAAAAGAACTGGAGGAGGTCCTGCCAGTGACATCAAACTCACTCCATTAGAGGAACGAGGATTGTCAGTGTGGGGCAGAGTGGCAGTAACAGGCTCCAGAAAAGTTACGGTATGTGGTGGTTTACAGGAGCCTGGTGCCTCTTCTGCCACTCCTGATAGAACTGCCACAATACCTGAAAATCTAAGCGCTGAGTTGACGGATGAGGAAAATTTACCAGAAGTTGGAGAAAATGATAATGTAGTTCGAGAAGAACCTGAAGTTGCTGGTCCGTCAAATTTTAATCCAAACCAGCCCAATTCTATTCAGTATTTTAAAAGAAAATACAAAAAAAAAAATCCTTATCAAAATGTACAAAATTCATCGTTAAAATCTGTTGGCCAAGACCTTTTGAAAGTATACGAAAAAGCTGTGAATCATACAAATAACGATATTGAAAGGGAAAAACTTGAACTGCAGAAACAGCAGTTGGATCTAGAGAAAGAAAAATTTCGGTTTGAAGTAGAGAAGTATAAGTTTGAAAATCCTAACTTTAATTTTAATTTACAATTATTTTAACTAGTTATTAGAGATATGTACCGACTTACCGACTATAGTCGGCCGACTGTTCCGCTTTGCTAAAACCGGTTTATAAATGCAACAGACAGTGTGTTTTTTTTCTATTTCTCTAACTACCTTAAAAACTTGTTTTATTTTAATAAAAGGAATAACTAAAGTTTCTTTGTTTTCCAAGAAATGTGTTAAATTTGTTTGGATAATTTTAACATTTAATTTTTTGTAGTAACTCAGTACAAAAATAAAGAATAACACAATTTAGGGCAGTTTATACAATACTTTAACCAATTTTAACCACTTTTTTGGAAAATTTTTGAAAATTTTGAATTCGCTTTGCGTGTTTATTGGACCAGATATCGTGACGGCGATTTCAGAATCGTAACTAGCGGAAGATTATCTACACTTTGACACCAATTTTCGGTCGATTAAACCAATTTTAAGCGGTTTTAACAAAGCCGACTAGTCGGCCGACTATAGTCGGTACATCATTAATAGTAGTAATAAATTTCTATTTATTTAATTTCTGACTATGACATAAACCTGTTTAATAAACCGATTATTAAAAGTTTTGCGTTAATTTTCACTGTATTATTGTATTATATTTCTTCTTATATAATTTTCACGGGCAGCTCGTCCTAAATTAAAACAATTCTGCTCTGGTTCTACAATCCCAACAGCGTTATCACCGTTACCTTCGTCGTTTTCTACCACTATTTCATCTTCCTCCAAAGCCAAATTCGCCCACAGAGCTATGTTGTGTAATGTGCTTGCGGCATATATTATATAGGCAGCCTGTACTGGATGAAAATGTAGAACTCGATGCTTTATTAGACATCTAAAGCGACCCTTTAGTATGCCGTTAGTGCGTTCTATAGGATTTCGAGTGGAACGCAGTAACTGGTTGTACCTTTCTTGTGGCGATCCTGGGGCAACAACAGGAATAGGTGTGAACAACCATGGTTCTTGCCCATATCCACTATCTCCAATAAGCCACGAGGTATCATCACCATTTTCAAAACACATTCGCAAATTATTCCGAATATCTGAAACCCTGAAGATCGCTGAATCGTGAACGGAACCAGGAAATCTAGCGTCACAGGCCAAAATTTTGCAATTGGAGTCACAAATTAGCATAACGTTAATGCTGTGTACCCCATTTCTATCGATATATACATGTGGCGGGTGATCTACGTCAGTTATAGGCGGAGTTATTATTTCGACATGGGTACCGTCAATGCACCCAATAGCACCACGAAACCCAAATTTCTCATAGAATCCACCCTTAATTGCCGTCTTCTCTTCCATTGTTGTTGGAAACTTTATCCACTCTGGCATCAATAACCCCGTAACGAGTCTACAAACTTTTTTTAAGGATCGGCTAATAGCCGGTTGGCTCATTGCAACCCATGTGCAAGATCCCACACTATGCTGGTAAGAGCCGGTACCCAAAAAGTTAAGGGTAGCTAATACTTCTAAATAAAAGGGCAGTTTTGTTGTTCTTCGCCGAATTCCAGCGTGGGGTTCCAGCCATTCGATTAAAATTCTTGTCAAATCTTGGTTTAAGCGAAATGTTTTTATAAATTCGACTTCTGGCATTTCGAATGGATTTTGAGAATCTCGCAACTGCTTCCGATAAATTCGCATGTAATTTCGTCTCTCGTCTTCTTCCAGAAGTCCGTATATAAATACGGGAATATTATTAATCTCGTTATTAAAATTATTTTGCATGTTTATGATGTTTTTGAACACTTTCAATTAATGTCATACGTGACAGCGTTATTTTTTAATAGACTGTTATAGTATACGGTCCCAATTTTGTCGCTGTAAATTTACAGCAACGTTATAAACATAATGTTACTAACATTACATACAGAATACCATTTTTTCCCAATCTCTGTTAACTGACGTTTTGTAATAGAATTGTCATGGCAATAACATTTTTATAGAATGTTAGAAATTACAGAATAGCACTATTAAAGTCCATAATTTCACGTTAAAGTCTTTGTTTTATATTTAATTCCACTAAATCGCCTGAGATTTCTTAAATAATCCAGAGAAATAGAAATACGGTATCACTTTTTTTTCCATTTTTGTCTCAAGCCAAAAAGAGCAAAATATTGCGATTTATTAACCGATTTTTAAAATCTCAACATTTGATTTTTAACAGTATGAAGTATAGTATACTTCCGAATGATAAATTCAGATTTTTTTTTATATTTTATAAAAAAATAAAATAAGGAAAAAATATTAATAACAATATTTAATTTAAAATAAAGATATGCAGCAAACCTAAACAAAATTTTTAAAAATTCTGTACGATTGCTGTCACGTTACCGTTTTTGACATAGCGTTGAGAATACCTAGAATTCGTCGGTGTTCCAATTTTAAACAACTGAGCAATTTTGAGCGAGGTCGAATAGCGGCCCTACGAGAAGGTTTATCATTTCACCAAATTGCAGCCCGTTTAAGCAGGACCGTGTCCGCACCGACGAATTGCTACTACACTTGGTCCGAAGATGGGTGAGAACGAGCCAGACGTTCGGACCGTCCCCGACAGGTAACAATAGGTCAAGAACGTCGCCTAAGACTTCTGGCTGTGAAGGACCGTTTGTCGAACGCGCGTTCGACTGCGGACCAATGGTTTGGAGAAGAAGGCAGAAGAATTACAAAGAGAACCAGATCATTTGGACTCACGTCGTACAGACCACACTTTGTGTTACCACTCACTCGAGTGATCTTTAGTGACGAATCCCGATTTTATTTAGATATGAGCGATGGTCGAAGAAGTATTGACGTGGAGAACGGCAATTGGGTATGGCAGTAGATCACCCTTAGTGTTTGTTAGGGGTTTATGAATGCCCAAAGCTACACTGCGGATATTATAGAACCTCATCTTCTCCCTTATCTTCACACCCTACAACAGCCGCTTTTCCAAATAGATCATGCCCAGCCGTATATTGCCAAAATTCTGTACGAACGACCCCTCTTTACTAAACTCACTGTTTCGGCACTGGTGGAATTCTACTTGTCAGACAATGATGACTCACTGTGCTCATCTCAAAACGCACGGTGTCTATTTATGATTTATTAATCATTAGTAGAAAACACCCCCGCATTTTGCCTTGCAATTTTTGGTAGTGACAACCGATTTATTTACTATGATGTTATAAAACGATGGAAATACTTAGAAGCTGTAGCAGCAAAACTGAGGAAATTTTGGGATTTTCTTCTGTTGGAGATACTCGATGCTTAGAGGTGATGAAAGTTTGGCCTAGCATACCTTAATCGAACTATTAGTACAACTGAAGATTTGGAATGTCCTTGTAGACCATTTTTTCAGGTAATAGCTAGAATAATTATCTATTTTAATGTAAACCAATTCTAACTTACGTGAATTTAACTCGAAATTTAATTTTACTCCTTAGGCCGGTTACAATTTGAGAGAACCAGTCTGCATTCAAGATGCAGTACATATAACGACAAAATGGAAAACTAGGTTTCTAAACCCTGGCATAAAGTTACTTATGGGTAACCAGTTTGCTGAACAAAAGCACATTGAATAACTGATGAAAAAGTTCACTAAAGATTTACATTTTTTGTCCCCAAATTTATTTATTTTTTTTTTTTATTTTTATTTGATTACGTTCCCCAACAGGCCGGAGGCCCAATTACAGGGGAACGGGGGATATACACAACACCCAGAGCCGGGCGGGAATCGAACCCACGACCCAGGGTGTAGCGGGCAAGCACGAAGCTACCTAACCCACCCGGGTCCTCTCCTCAAATTACCTCAAAGGTACGTACTTTGGTTTCATATTTTTTTGACTATTGGCTATCTATTCAAAGGTGAAGGCAAAATTAATTTTGAAGCTGTAGCGGACCTTTCCTGCCAATATTTGAATTGGCTAGAGAAGCGAGCATGAAGGATGGAAGGGGGTTTCGCGCGATCGTAGAGTGAGGAGCTCCACGTGAAAAAACCTTCAGTAAAAGTGAAATAAATTACATGGTCGTTGATCCGTCTTTTACTGCCCCGTGTACTCAACAACGCAGACTAGGGTGGCCGCCTGCACTAAGCGAGCGACATTGGTGACCCCGACGTGATCTGAATCACAGTGGTGACGCAGTAGAAAGGCAACGCGAAACACAACTGTCCCTTGGAACCACGTGGATATCGAAGTAGAGTGAAAACAGCAAGAGATGTCTGAAACAGAGAAGACAGCCCCCACAATCACCGAAGCAACATTCTCCCTCCCGGCATTCTGGGATAATCAGCCAGAATTATGGTTTGCTATGGCAGAGGCCAGATTTTCCACCTTCCAGACAAAAATCGTGAAGGAAGAGACGAAATATAATCATGTCCTCATCGCCCTACCTCCTTATATTGCCGCCGAGGTGACGGATCAGATTGTGACCCCAGATCCCGACCTACCGCACACGCGATTAAAACAAGCAATCATCGCCAGAACTGCGCTTACGGAGACTCAGCGTCTGAAACAACTGCTTTCGTGCCAAGAGTTGGGTTCTCGAAAACCCACCCAACTCTTACGACATATGAAATCGCTCACAAATGGCGGCGATTCCCTATCTCCATACGTCAATGAAACGGCTCTACGAGAGTTATTTCTTCAGCAGATGCCCACAAACAATCAGCCCACATTAATTTCTTTGACCACGGATCAGCCAGTAGAAGTCGCAGATAAGATCATTGAGGCCGTACCAGCTGCAACGATGTCCGCCATAGGGGCGAAAGAAGAGGATCAGAGGTCAGCGTCAGAGCGAAATGACGCCATTGGTGAATTAACGCGCCAAGTCCAAAATCTGACGGCGCGCCTTGAACGCTACGAGGGGCGAGGACGAAGCATCAGCCAAACCCGCGCACGAAGTCGCAGCAGAAACCGCCAACGCCAAAATAGTGCTGTAGATCGCAAGTGTTGGTACCACTTCAACTTTGGCGCAAACGCAAAAAAATGCACGCCACCTTGCAGTTTGGCAAAAAACGGGTCCGGAGAGCAGAAGTAAGGGCCGCTTCTGCTGTCCACACCACATCGCCTCTCCTATTTATCGTTGATAGAAATTCCAAGCTACATTTCCTAATTGACACAGGAGCTGATATCAGTGTAGTACCCGCGAAATTCAAAAGTCTGAATTGTGCCGGGTCAAACAGTGTTGACGCATGTTTCAATTTACAATCGGCGGACGGTTCCAAAATCGCAGTGCTTGGACAGAAACTGTTAAACTAAAATCTCGGTCTGCGCCGCGATTTTCAATGGACTTTTCTGGTAGCAAATGTTACGGACGCAATATTAGGAGCTGACTTCATACATCACTACGGCCTATTAGTGGACGTAAAAAACCAGAAACTCATAGACTCGCTAACATCATTAGAAGTGTCGTGTCGGGTTAAAATCGCGCACGAGCCAGGCATACGTGCCATCTTTGACGAGATTCCTGACCCGTATCGAACACTCCTTCGACGCTTCCCAAATGTCCTCCGACCAGCTCCATCAACTAAAGTAACGCAGGTCAAGCATGCCGTCACACATCACATCGAAACAAAAGGACCTCCAAGCCATTGCAGACCGCGACGCCTGCCTCCAGACAAGTATCAAGCCGCCAGGCAAGAATTCCAGCAGATGTTGGAAATGGGAATCGTCAAACCATCGTCGTCACCATGGGCCAGTCCGCTACACATGGTAACAAAAAGGGACGACACGTGGAGACCATGTGGGGACTATCGAGTGCTAAATGCTCAAACAAAGCAGACAGATATTCAGTCCCGCATATCCACGATTTTAGCCAGCACCTACATGGCAAGAACATCTTCAGTACTCTTGATCTCAAAAAAGCGTATTTCCAGATTCCTGTTCACCCAGATGATCAACCTAAAACAGCGGTCACAACCCCTTTTGGATTATACGAATTCACCAGGATGCCGTTTGGGTTGCGTAACGCAAGCCAGACCTTTCAACGCTTTCTGGACCAAGTTCTGCAGGGGCTTGATTTTGCATACGCTTATATTGATGACATATTGGTAGCGTCCGCATCAGAGCAAGAACACCTAATCCACCTGCAAACTGTGTTGGAAAGGCTCGACCAATATGGAGTCATTATCAACCCCACAAAATGTGTTTTTGGGGCACCTGAGTAAAACTTTTTAGAGGTAAAAATCAGTGCTAACGGAATCCAGCCCCTATCAGAGAAGGTAGAAACCATCACTTCCATGGCATTTCCAAAGACCAAGAAAGGACTACAACGTCTTATGGGAATGGTGAACTATTATCGAAGGTGGCTTCCAAACGCAGCTACCATTCAAGCCCCCCCTGAACCAACTGATTGGAGGCAATGTCAAGAAAGATGCCAACATAGAGGCGAATCCAGAAGCCCTGCAAGCATTCGAACAGTGTAAACAAGATTTAGCAAAAGCTACCACACTCGCCTATCCTAACCACCAAGCACCACTCCGGTTGTACACCGATGCGTCTCAAGCAGGTATTGGTGGAGTCTTGGAGCAAGCTGTCGAAGGTATTCCAAAACCACTGGCCTTTTTCTCCGCAAAATTGACTTCCACAGAAAGGAAATATAGTGCGTACGATAGAGAACTTTTGGCAATATATAGAAGTATCCTTCATTATCGACATTTTCTAGAGGGCCGTCATTTCACTATCTTTGCATATCACAAACCTCTGGTATACGCTTTTCATCAAAAACCAGAGAAGTGCAGTCCTCGACAGTCAAGGCAGCTAGATCTGATTTCACAGTATACCACCGACATCCAGTATGTCATTGGTTATAAAAACACACCAGCAGACACTTTGTCAAGGATGTCAGAAATTTCCAAGTGTACTTTTGACTACGACATGTTGGCGACGTCACAAGAGACAGATGGCGAACTGAAAACTCTTCTACAAGACGAAAAGTTCACATTCCAGCTGTTAGGATCATGTGCGCATGCTCGTCCACCCCCAATGGGAGAGGGATGAAGAGAGCGGAACGCTAGGTACGACCGCGGGATTTTGCATGTAGACGTCACAGAATAAACTTGTGCTTAAGTTTACCCCTTTTTTATTTCTTTACGGCTCGTGAAAACGCTCACGAGTCCAACATAAAATGGTCCTTCGAGCCGGATAAATAAGCATAACGGTGTGCTACGAATTCGTGCAACACGCGAGTAAGTGCAAAAAATCAACGCATCACTCCTAGCCACTCCAGGGGAAAATCATCAGCCCAACCTAGTGGACAAGAAAACATCAACACATCAAGTATACGAGGTCTCAGGTCAGTTCCTTGTTTCCTATCCTATTATTCATGTTTTGTCATAATCAATTACTCGTCAGTTCGTTTCCTCATAATGTTGGACGATATTAAAACTTTAATAGCCAAACGGGCTGCTCTCAAAACGCGTTTGACAAAGTTTAACAATTTCATAGCAGACCCTCGAAACGGTAAAAAGGCAATAAATTTAAAAAGGCGGTTAGCATCAATCGAACCTTGCTTACGCGAATATCAAGACATTGAAGTGCAAATATCCACTGTGGACGAAATACAAGTCAAGGACGACGAAGCAACCGAATTCGAAAATAAATATTTTGAAGCTGTGAGTAATGCAGAAAGCTTAATCCAAGCCGCCGGGGCTTTGGAGTCAGTACCTAACTCGAATTCGCCATCAAACCGTAACGAAACGCTTCCGGTCAAGCTACCTGAAATTTGTTTGCCCACGTTTGATGGGTCCTTTACTGAATGGCTTAGTTTTCGAGATTCTTTTCAATCTTTAATTAATAATAATACCAGTTTAAATGCCATTCAAAAGTTTCACTACTTAAAAGGTACTTTATCGGGCGAAGCACAAAAAACAATTAGCCATTTGACACCGTCCACCGATAATTACGCGGCAGCATGGGCGTTACTCGTGGAAAGGTATGAAAATAACCGACTGATCAGTCAGCATCACGTGCGCTCGTTATTTTCATTGCCCAACATTAATCCAAAGGATTCTGCATCGCTCAGAACCCTTTTGCAAATAGTCAATTCGAATCTTAAGGCATTAGAGGGAATTGGACGTCCCGTACATCAATGGGATGATCTTCTTATTCATTTAATTTCTTGTAAATTTGATCACGGCACAACTATTGCATGGGAAGGTACATTGTCCAAAGACATTCCCACAACAACAAGCATTCTTGAATTTCTGACACAACGTTGTCAAATGTTCGAATCATTTGAAGCGACATTTCTTAGTAATAAATTTAACGTTCCAAATAAACCCAAATTTCCGTTCAATGCTAAGTACAATAAGCCATCCAGTCATATCGTAAACAGAAACGAACATAGTCAAATATCTTGCAATTACTGCAAACAATCGCATACTATCTTTTTTTGTCAGAGTTTCCTAGGTCTTAACGTGGATCGCAGATTAAATGAAATAAAAAAACGACATTTATGCACGAATTGCCTACGTAGTGGACATACACTCGAGACCTGCAACGCCGGCAATTGTAAAAAATGCAATAGACGTCATAATACTCTTTTGCACATAGAATCGCAGCCACAACCCTCTTCAAGTACAATGAGCAATTGTGCACAAATTTTAAGCAAAAATGTAATTTTATCAACCACACAAATTTTGGCGACAGGTGCTAATAACAAAGGCATAAAATTTCGTAGTTTGCTAGATAATGGTTCAGTCTCAAATTTTATTACCGAGCGAGCTGTACAAAAATTGGGGTTAAAAAATATACACAAAATCAATTTACCCCTGATAGGAATTGCATGCAAATCTTCTATTATTAGTAAAGCAGTCAGTGTAAAAATTTCATCAATTTCCAATTCATTCAAGGCCTACTTGGACTTCTTAATTGTTCCCGAAATCACGGGTAACGTACCTGCGCAATCATTTACACCATTGCAAAATCTACCCACCAATATCAAATTAGCCGATCCGTTTTATAATAAGTCACTAGCCGTTGACCTCTTGATAGGGAACGAAATATTTTGGGACATACTTTGCATTGGTCAGTTCCGAATTAACAAAAATGGCCCGACATTACAAAAAACCCAGTTCGGTTGGGTAATTGGAGGCGTTCTAAATCAGTTTAATTCATCAAATAACTTAACCTCATGTAACCTTTCAAATATTTCGTTAGATAAACAGATTAGAAAGTTCTGGGAAGTAGAAAATTTACCTGAAAAATCAGACAGTTCAAGCGTAAACAACACCTGCGAAGTACACTTCAAGGAAACCTTTACAAGGGATGCAACTAGTGGTAGGTTTATTGTAAAGCCCCCATTGATAAACGAACCGCCTTGCTTGGGTATTTCCAAAGAAAGAGCTTTGAGGCTATTTTACAACCTTGAGAAACGCTTTTCAAAGGACCGGAACTTATTTCAGCAGTACTCGGAATTTATGAGGGTCTGTCTAGCACTGGGGCACATGACCGAATGTGAACCCGACAATTCCGGTTATTTTTTAAGCCATCATCCGGTCCACAACGAATCGTCAACGACCACCAAATTGCGGGTTGTTTTCAATGCGTCCATGAAAACTGATAACAATAAATCCATAAATGATAATCTATTAGTCGGCCCTAATCTCCAACAAGATCTGTTCAGCATTTTAATTAGATTTAGGATTCATAAAGTAGTCGTTTGTGCGGACTTAAAAAAGATGTATCGTCAAATACTTTTACATCCAGACCATCGTAAGTATCAAAAAATATTTTGGCGAAATGATTCAGGCGAGGATATCAAGGTTTACCAACTGAACACGGTCACATATGGATTTGCTAGTTCGTCATATCTAGCAACGAGATGTGTGCATGAACTAGCTAATCTAGAAATGCAAAATTTTCCGGAAGCAGCAACCATTATTTTACGTGACATGTACGTGGACGATTTGATCTATGGCTCATCCAATATTGTGGACGCGGCACAATTATTAAATGATATCAAGCAAATTTTAATTAAGGCAGGTTTTGAGTTACACAAAATAAGTTCCAATTATTCATGTGATTTCGGGTTTGACGAGGAACTTCAACAACAAGAGCAGATTTCTTTAGACAAACAAAATACCATTAAAACATTAGGCTTATTCTGGGATAATAATAATGACATAATTAAGTACTCCACTCACTCGAAAAATCCAAGAATTGACAAAATTACTAAACGCGGCATTTTAAGCACGATCGCTCATATTTTCGATCCGTTGGGATTAGCGGCACCTGTAGTCATAACTGCTAAAATTATTTTACAAAAATTATGGTCACTAAAACTAGATTGGGACGAAAGTTTACCTATTGAATTACACACAATGTGGTGCGAATTTCTAGAAACCTTTTCACAGCTTAACCAGGTAGCGGTACCGCGCCGAGCTATTTGCGATTATCAACAAGTCGAAATCCACGGATTTTGCGATGCAAGTTAACTTGCAAACGGGGCATGTGTTTATTTGAGATCTCAAGGTCCGGACGGTACTTATCAAACCCATATTTTGTGCTCAAAAAACAAGGTGGCTCCCTTACAATCATTAACCATTCCTCGATTAGAGCTGTGCGGAGCTCTGCTTTTGGCCAAATTGGTGTATAAGGTAACCAAATCTTTATCTAATTTTCAAATCCGTAATCATTATTATTGGACCGATTCTACAATTGTATTGGCATGGCTCCGTACAGAACCCGCCTTATTAAAATCTTTCGCTTCCCACAGAGTCTCAGAAATTCAGTCTCTAGCCCCTTATAACAATTGGTACCACATTCCATCAAATCAAAACCCTGCGGACATTCTATCGCGTGGCGACACTCCGCGTCATTTGATGTCTTCAGATTTGTGGTGGCACGGCCCTAGTTTTTTAACAACGCCACACATACCATATATACAAGAAGTCCCCTCAGGCACTAATTTACCAGAAATGAAACCAAAATGTTGTTTAATAGTGCAAAGGGTCACTAAACATTGTTCCCTTTGGTCTAAGTTTTCAAATTTTGACAAATTGTTAAGAATTACCGCTCTCGTGCGTCGTTTCATTTTTAATTTAAAAAACAAACATAATAAAAAATTGGGCGCTGTAACTTGCAGCGAACTACGAGAGGCCCATAGTTTAATAATAACACAAGTTCAATCCGAAGCCTTTCACATCGATATTCACAATATCAAAAAACATAATCAGGTTGCCAATAACAGTAAAATAAAAAACTTAAGCCCCTTCATTGACTCTTCTGGGTTAGTAAGAGTTGGAGGTAGATTAGCATACTCCAACATTCATAACGATCGGAAATACCCTCTATTGCTGCCGAAACAGCATTTCATTACAAATCTAATTATTAAGAAATATCATGTCGAAAATTTGCACATCGGTTGTCAAGGTACTTTAGCAGCAGTACGCCAACGATATTGGCCTGTTTCAGCCAAAAACGCGGTTAAATTAGTCATTTTCAATTGCCTAAGGTGTTATCGATGCAAACCAATTTCATATGAACAATTGATGGCTGATCTCCCGGTAACACGAGTAACTCCATCGCGGCCATTTACAGTAACTGGTGTTGATTATGCAGGGCCATTCACACTAAAAAACGGCCATGGAAGGACGGTAAAAACAATAAAGGGTTACATCGCCGTCTTTGTGTGCTTCGCTACCAAAGCAGTGCATATAGAGCTTGTGTGTGACTGCACGTCAAATTCATTTTTGAATGCATTAAAGCGGTTTATCTCCCGTAGAGGTAAACCAAGTCAGATTCATTCTGACAACGGAACGACTTTCGTAGGCAGTAACCGGCATTTAAAAGAGTTATATCAATTATTCCAAACAAAATCATTTAAAGATGTGGTAGTAGGCAATCTTTCAAATTTAGGCATTACTTGGAATTTTATTCCTCCAAACGCCCCCCACATGGGCGGTTTATGGGAGGCTGCTGTAAAGTCAATTAAAGGGCACATTAGACGAGTTTTAAATAATACTTTGCTGAACTATGAGGAAATGAATACCGTGTTGATTATGATAGAGGCATGTCTAAACTCCAGACCTCTCACCCCATTATCAAATGACCCGAACGACCTCGTCGCACTCACTCCGGCCCATTTTCTAATCGGCGGTCCGCTGACCGCTCCGGTAGAGGAAGACCTGAGGGACCTTCCGACCAATCGCTTAATCCGCTTCCAGCTTCTGGAGAAGATGAGACAAGATGTGTGGAAACGGTGGTCCAACGAGTACCTGCATCAGTTACAAACCAGGTACAAGTGGAGGAACGTTCCAGCATTGAAGCCCGCCAAGGGGGACCTGGTGGTAGTCCGCGAGGCCAGCACTCCGCCACAACAGTGGCCTTTAGGGCGAATCGAGGAGCTACACCCGGGAAAGGACGGACAGTGTCGTGTAGTGACGATCAAAACAATGCGGGGAGTGTTTAAAAGACCATTAACGAAAATTTGCGTTTTGCCCATGGACTCTAACAAGGACTGTTGTGAGTGAAAACAGGGCGCAATCAATTTAGAGTCGTGTTATGTGCGCAATCAATTTGTTTGCGAATGGACTCATATATGTTCCACTTATGTCAACGTTAATATGTACTTTATTTATACATTTCATATAGTATTTCTAAGTATCTGTACCTATTTGTAATCAATTGTTATATCCTGAATTGTAATCTTCCATTAAATTCAGCGGGGGGAGCTATGTTAGGATCATGTGCGCATGCTCGTCCACCCCCAATGGGAGAGGGATGAAGAGAGCGGAACGCTAGGTACGACCGCGGGATTTTGCATGTAGACGTCACAGAATAAACTTGTGCTTAAGTTTACCCCTTTTTTATTTCTTTAGGGCTCGTGAAAACGCTCACGAGTCCAACACCAGCAATTTCCCTCACCAGGTGGCAACAAGGAATTGTGGTTTGAAACCTCCCATGGAAATCGTTTGTACATCACACATCATAGAAATCACTCATAACCTCTCACACTCCGGGGTTAGGAACTCTGTAAAACAAGTCACACGTAGGTATTTTTGGCCAAACATCAGGAAAGATACGGCCACATGGGTAAGAAAATGCCTGCCCTGCCAACGCGCGAAAATCCACAGACACGTTAAATCACCCATTGGCACTTTCAGCAATCCTGACGCCCGGTTTAGCCACATTCATGTTGACATTGTGGGGCCCCTGCCTTATTCAGACGGTAAGGAGTACTTGCTGACTATGATAGATAGATTTACTAGGTGGCCTGAAGCAGTAGCAATCGCAGATATCACAGCGCAGACATGTGCCCGAGCCTTGCTCGACAACTGGATCTGTCGTTTTGGTGTCCCTACAAGAATCACAACAGACAGAGGCACACAGTTCGAATCCGCACTCTTTACCTCTCATCGCGAACTTACGGGCATGCATCGCATCCGAACTACTTCTTACCATCCTCCAAGCAATGGACTGGTCGAAAGGTTCCATCGGCAGCTGAAGGCGGCCCTGAAATGCCACGATAACGTGTGGACGCAAGCGTTACCGCTCGTTATGCTGGGTATCAGAAGTAGCATCAAAGAAGACATCGACACATCACCAGCTGAATTGGTTTATGGAACATCACTTCGTTTACCAGCTGATCTGGTCAAAATAAATTCCACGCCAAACTGTTTCCCCCACACATTCGCGCAAGAACTGAAAGAAAGAATGCGACGAATTCAGTACGCTAGGACAACCCATCACGGAGAACATGAAGCTACATCCCAAAGAACCTTCACCAAGCAACGTACGCTTTCATTCGTGTTGACACCGTGAAGAAACCTTTACAACGACCCTATAACGGTCCCTACAAGGTCCTAGAAACAGGCGATAAATTCTTCAAAATCCTAGTCAATGGGAAAACAGAAGTTATTTCGATTGACAGGTTAAAAGCCGCAGTAGTCGAAACGTCAAGCGAAGTGTCAAAGGCACCAAATGTCACCGATCAGAGCACGACGAAATCCACACAGCAACCAGTGGCAATCAAAAGTGACGCGAACAACAACAACAACGAACCCACACGAACCACAAGATCTGGTTGTAGAGTCAGATTTCCATCCAAATATTGCACATAATTCGTTCAATCCTCTCGGCTCTCACTAGGAAGGGGGTGATGTAGCGGACCTTTCCCGCCAATATTTGAATCGGCTAGAGAAGCGAGCATGAAGGATGGAACGCGGGGGAAAAAGCTCGCGCTCCTTCTTCGGTTTCGCGCGATCGTAGAGTGAGGAGCTCCACGTGAAAAAACCTTTTGTTAAAGTGAAATAAATTACATGGTCGTTGATCCGTCTTTTACTGCCCCGTGTACTCAACAACGCAGACTAGGGTGGCAGCCTGCACTAAGCGAGCCACAAAGCTGCTAATAAAGTATATACAGTGGACGCCGCTTAATGTGATCACTTTGGGACTCAGACAAATTGATCACACTAACCGACTGATAACAATAAGCGAAAACCACCATCAGAGACAGGAAAACTTGAAACAAATCAAAATCATGAACAAGAGAGTGTTCATTATGCTGGTAAATGAAGGTACATAAACATTAGAATTTATTTTTAATTTTGGTTATCATTCTGAGAAAGGAACTCTTGAATTTCCTTTGGTTATTTTAGAAAAAACGGGCTGAAATTTTTTTTCTCTGATAAGCTGAGATCTCGTCGTTTTGACGTGCTCATTTTTACATAAGTACTACTCAAATTTAAAACAGGAAAAATTCGTTCATTCAAAAGACGAAAACGGGCTGATTACTAAAGTCTGTCACTGATTGTGGCTCTATAAAGTGAGTAGTATAAGCGAATGTATCTTTTGAGAGCAATAAAAGTTCATTAAAAACAATAGTACTTTCAATCGTCTCGTTTCTTCAAAAAAGCTTGTATAAGAATTGGGAGATTGATCACAATAAGCGAAATATTGATCACAATAAACGGAAAAACTGTAATGCATTGGTATTGCGTGGGCCCGTTCCAAGCCATTTTGATCACACTAAGCGGTTGATAACATTAACCGTGATCATATTAAGCGGCGTCTACTGTATATCGAAAATAATTTATTATTTGTGGTACGTGACATTTTTCGTTCGATTATGAAGACAAGTAAAGATTACATTTTAGAAAACTTTTTTAACTTTGAATATTTACACTTGTACCGAGCTTAACGCTCATGGACTTCAGAAAATAATTGAAAAACTTAGAAAAGTGGATGGTGTTATCTCCTCAAATATGGCAAAATTATGTTTTTGCCTTGGTTGTATAGCAGCCAGCCTTGTGAAAAGATATTGACACACCCGATCAATGACCACTACATTTTCATCAGTGGTAAACTACTCTTTGACAGACATATTAAGAAGTGTTAACCATATTCAAGCAATTAATGAAATCAGGACAGATCTTGGTGCGTAATTTATACATGTGAATATGACCGTACACACTCATGTATGTTTACAACATGTAGGAGACGCTTTTTGTTTTTGCTCGGAAAGAGCCTTTTACTAGTGCTGCTGAAGCCACTATAATTAGCAATTTTCCGGGCAATGTCAAAACTGCTCGTCATCGTTTGAGGACAACTGGCATTCGCAACTACGAGAATTATCACACAGTGCTGCATGTTAATATAATTGAAACAAATTTATTAAAACTTCGACTTTGTCAGTGTCAAAATGACAAATATGCCAATCGACAATTGTATGACACCTCCACCCAGTTTTCCGTGTCCCTGATGGTACTGTTTAAGTGACACTCGTAAAATAGTAGTAACATTTAAGAAATAAATGTGGAAGCATCTCCATTAATATTAGGTGTTTTTCTCGATTAAAATTCTCCCTTTAAAAATGGTGTAAACTGTAGGTTCACATAGGAGTTATAATTCTGTGAAAGTATACATATGTTCTAACTGTTTGCATTTTGAAATCATTTTATTTATTTTACGTATCTCGAGTGTATATTATGAGCTGGATGATTCTATACCACAGTGTCGTTCTGTGAACAAGTCAACAGAATGTTCAATGCTTTAAACAGAAAGATTCCCCGCCAAGGACTGATCCCAGCAATGGAAGATTTCTGAGTTCTTCAAGAGTCTCTTTTATGGCTTAATATCTAGGAGAATAACGTTAAGACTAAAGCAATCGAAGAAAGCAACTTCTTAACACAAAATACAGCGCAAGGATTTCGGATCACCCTTCATTCTGTCATAGATCTCTGCTTATATATGTCACAAAAGTATAATTTTACTTAATTATTGACTGGTAAAATTAATAAAATGTAAATGTAAATAAATCTAACATTTCCATTGATTAATCAGGATCCAGTGGAGATATATAAAAAGTTACATTTTTTTTAGAAATCTTTTGGGCCCATCAGGATGGCTGGAGGTCAAAATGATCACCCAGCTACACCTACTACTTTTTACAACTGTACAAAATATTATCCGTATACGCTGTATTAAAGCCATCAATATTTGGAAACTGTACTGTAACAGAAACAAATGCCCCCAAAACTTTGCTGTCTCATAGTGACATCAAAAATGAAAACGTTCAGTCTTCTTCCTCGTTGGCTATCGAGCGTCTAAAACAGAGACTCGATGGAATAATCGAAGAATCAGATTTAGAGGCTAATGACATTGTACAGTCTGATATATTATTTGCCCAAGCGAAAGAGTGTGTAACATATTATGTGACGGGATACTTGTGTAAACAAGGTAAAAGTATGCCAACTGCTCCACATGTGTGGAAAGTACATGTCCTTGATTACCAACAGTAGTATTCCCGCGAAAACTTTGCTCAACTAACTAACATCAAAATACACGGAGGTTTGAATCATCCGAACAAAAACTTTTTTGCTTGATTTTAAGGATTCAAGAAGAATTTGCGCTTTATGCTGATGATTCTAATGTTTTTGAAAAAACAAAGATTATTTAACGCAAAATTTTTCATTTTCGTTTCCTTGTGCAAACCATAAGAACAAATTACTTGTTTATACAATTAATTATTGCCTAAGAATGAGAATGAAGCAGTTTGCTAGAGAGCACAATACAGAATATAAAAAAGTGAACAGATGAAAAAAGTTTCAATCCAGATTATAAAGAAAGTTTATTTTCATGCACCCCACCAGAAAAAGCCAAAGCAGCTACAACAAATTTTAAATTTGTTGTAGCTGCAACAAAGAACAACTTATAGATGTTTCACATCGAGAGAATAATACCATTTCTTCCCGAATAGTGAATGAAGACAGGAAACAGATCAACACTTCCTAACTCCTCTAAAAAGTGAATAAAAAATAAATAAACTGCTTGTAGTAATCTACCAATTTTTTTAGAAGATGTAAGCCCAAATATGGGGCAGCAAATATTGTTACGGGACCGGGTCGTCGCGACCTCGCGGTTCCAGCGGGGAAGCGTCCGGTCTTTACCCGCGTCGGTACGCCGACTTTGTTCCAGGGTGTCGGAGTGTCCTTGGGTGATGGGGTTCTGAAAAGAATCGGTGTGGGTGCTTTGTTTGCTACGGCAAAAAACTGAGCACGGGATTTTTCGTGAATAAAAGCCTCGATGAAAAAAGAAGGTACGGTTTATTGGGGTTGTCTGGCCGTTTAGCCGCCGGGGCGAGCACTGACGACAACAGACTTCCTTGAAACCCACGACTCAACTGCCTATTGCTCCAATTTTACGTATCTTTATATGCGGCTGCTGTCGCAGCCGCGCTCCGATTAGCGGACCGCGGTGCCGCGGATCTCGGACATGCTTAAATATTATTTGAATAAAACAACTTATCTAATTCCTTAACCTAATGATCGCACTAATCAGGCCTCCAAATGTTGGCCCGGTAACAATATCAACGCCTTCAACACGAAACATAACTGAATTGACAATTCATCTAAGTCCGATTAAAAAACAGATGGATTTTAAACACACCGAAAGCAATACAGATGAAAGTTCCATCTGCCACATACACTTCCAGTTTCCTAAGGAACTGTCATTAGTCATTAAATGCCACATTTGAGGTTAGTAAACAAAACATTTCGATTGATGAAAATATGCATCACATGGTAAAGTCTAAACCTCCTGGTAGCATTTTTCCACTATGTTGTATTAGTTTAAACACCAATTTTCTTTTGCGTAAACGACTTTCTTCTTGCACATACTTTGAAGATTCTTTTATAATTACCAGCAAAGAATGGATTTCCTCTGAAAACAACAAAAAATGGAGAAATTATATAATTCTCAAGAACTTTGGGTAATTTGTTAATAATTATTGCGTTATTAACTTAACCCTAGGATACATAAACGGGGCCTGCCAGGCCCGGATCACTATTTAGTAGCTTGTAATTTGTTTTAAAATTTGTTAATTTAATCCAGCGTTCAGGTATGGTCTAAACATTTATCCGTTTAACAGTTTCTCAGGTCAAATAATTTTTGTCGATTTTTTTAACTTAAAAAATAATTTTTTATCATTACTATCCTACATTTACATCTACCGGGCCTACGAGATCCATATCTAATTTATCCGTATTAACGCGTTTCTGCCTGCTGTTGCTGGCGTGTATCATGGAAAAAGCTAAACTAAGCAAATCTGCATGTCTGTACAGGTTGAAACTTGCGTTATTTCTTATTGTATAACTGCACACCCACATATTTACGTTGTCTCAGTTGAACAGAAAGTTGCGTTGAGTGAGTTTGAAGTAGCAGTTCAAAACAATAATGGCATCTAAAAAACATGTGAAATTTGGTGAACCGAAGTACGAAGAAATGGTTTTGAGGTGGGCAGATGAATGCGAAGATCTCCCTTCTGGAGAAAGTGAAATTTCCGAAGTTGAAAATGATGACATAATGGACAGTGATTTCGAAGCAAATTGTGATGAGTTTTCTGAATCCAGTAACGAAGACGATGATGATGATGATGCTGATGCTAGTGCAGAAAATGTTAGTGTTAGTTCTTATATTTCTGCAAGTAATCTGGAATGGAAAAAAGAACCACCAGCTAAAAGTAAAGTTCAGACACATAATATTATTCGACGTGCACCTGGTTTGGCAAAGAAACATATGTCAGCTACGCCAAAAGAAGCTATTCAATTATTTCTGACTGAAGCTATTATGCAGGAAATTGTACACTGTACTAATTTAGAGGCAAGGCGTGTGTACAATGAGAAATCAAAAACATGAGTTGATGTAACTGTTAATGAACTTTATGCATTTTGTGGATTACTTATTTATGCCGGAGTTGACAGAAGTTGGGATGTCCCCGCAAGGGAGCTTTTTGCTGGTGAATTTCCTAATCCCATTTATCGCGCCACAATGTCTATATTTTGGTTTGAAGAAATGCGAAGATTTATGAGATTTGACAATAAGAGAACTCGAGAAACACGTCTAGAAACCGATAAATTAGCACTGGTATCTTATATTTGGGATCTGTTTATTCAACAATGTAAAACATGCATCATACCAGATATGAATGTAACAATTGATGAACAACTTGTCGGCTTCAGAGGAAGATGCCGATTCATTCAATATATGCCAAGTAAGCCAGCAAAATATGGCTTGAAAATTTTTTGGATGTGCGAATCTAAATCTGGCTTTGCTCTTGATTGTTTAGTTTATGTTGGTCGACAACCTGGAGAACCTCCGCATAATAATCTGGGATTTGAAGTAGTGCAAACTTTGGTGCGTACCATTCATAACTCTGGTCTGAATCTGACTATTGACAATTTTTTTTACGAGTGTTCCTTTGGCCGAGTACCTTTCGGGAAAAAATATTACTCTTGTCGGCATGCTACGCCAAAATAAGAGAGATATTCGGAAAGAAATGAAACCATCTAAAGATCGTCTAGTCTCATCGTCATTGTTTTGCTTCAGAGATAGCGTCACAATGGTGAGCTACGCACCGAAAAAAAATAAATGCGTAGTTTTGCTAAGCAGCATGCATCATGAAGCACTTTTCAATGATGACGCTAAACGCAAGCCCGAAATTATTTTATACTACAATAAAACAAAAGGTGGTGTCGATGTTATGGACTAAATGGTATCCACATACACATGTAGAAGACAAAGCAAGAGATGGCCTATGACATTTTGTTTCAATATTCTTGATGTGGCAGCACTCAATGCTTTTACTGTTTTACCAAGAGGGCATCCAAATTATAACAATCTGGTCACTCACAAACGCAGAATCTTCCTAAAGGATTTAGCAAAAGAGCTCGTGACTCCCCATATGCTCAAAAGATCAACTAACCCTAACATCCGATGTAGCATTTTGGATTGTATGAAAAAATGTGTGGCGGCACAATAACACGTCGGTAAGCAGAGTAAAGATAAGTTGTCTTGTGGTGTAGTGGTCAGCATACCTGCCCGGAATGCAAGGAGACGTGGGTTCGAATCCCACCGAGGCACAACATTTTTATCTGCTTACCTACATTTTAGACTTTACTTATGCCTACTTAGACGACATCCTAATAGTATCCTCGACTCCTGGAGAACATCTCCAGCATCTAGAGATGGTCTTAAAACGACTTAGTCAGCACGATCTAGTCATTAACCCAAAGAAATGTGTTTTTGGCGTCGACACTCTTAAATTCTTAGGTGTTCAAGTTTCGTCAGATGGCATCAAACCTCTAGCAGAAAAAGTTCAGGCTGTACAAGACACGGAATTTCCGAAAACTTCAAAGGCTCTACAGAGATTTTCGGGAACAATTAACTACTACCGGCGTTGGATCCTGAATGCTGCCGAGTTACAATCTCCATTGAACTGTTTACTAAATGGCTGCACTCGTAAAGACCGACCAATTATCAGTACTCCAGAAGTAGTTCAAGCATTCGACAAATGCAAATCTTCTTTGCTGAACGTGGCTCTTTTAACGTATCCAGCACCTCACAGTAAGTTGAGCATTGCAACTGATGCCTCCGATACTGCTGTTGGCGGTGTTTTGCAACAACTCGTGGACAACGAACAACAACCCATTGCTTTCTTCTCGAAAAAACTCACCGGCACAGAAAGACGCTACAGCACTTACGACAGAGAGTTGCTTGCTATTTACAAAACAATTCTCCACTTTCAACACTCGAAGGTCGTATTTTTACAATTTTCTGCGACCACAAACCTTTGATATATGCGTTTCAGAAAAAAACAGAAAAATCCAGCCCTCGCCAAGCACGACACCTTGATTTAATATCACAATATTCTACCGACATTCAGTATATCAATGGTATCAATAACGTGCCTGCCGACATGCTTTCGAGAATTGCTACAATCTCTTTCAAAGCTCTAGACTCTTCAGTGCTAGCTACAGCACAAGCTGATGATCCCGATCTCCAACGCTTGAAACAAGAAGGCAAATTCACCTTTCAAGAAATTCAAATCGTCTATACATTCCGACGCCAGCAACTATCTCCTTCGCACCCCAGCACGACCGCGCGCTGTGTCGCTGGGGGGGGAGTACTGTGGCGGCATAATAACACGTCGGTAAGCAGAGTAAAGATTCTCCTTAGGTTAAAATGATTTCTGTTTTAATAATTAAAGAAAAGCGAACCATTTTTTCAATAACTTGTCAGATTTTGACAAAAATGTCAGGGGTGTACAAAACTGAACTCGGCGACGCAGGCAATTGTTTTGCACCGACAGCACTATTAAATTAAAAAAAAAAAAACAAATTAATTTTTTGCGTTTTTATTAACGCAATTCTTTTAAACAAAAACAGTGGTTTAATTAATTTTTCGCACACAGGCATTATTTTAGTTGCTTAACGTTATAACGTAATTTTGCATAGTTTTTAATAACAGGAAGCTGCGCTAAAATTTGTTTTTTGTACGATAAAATAGGTTTTTTGTTATCAGCCTAATCTTTCCCTATTATATTACATCTGTCTTAAATTTAATAAAAAACCCTTCAAAAATACCTAAGTTATTGCGCCCGAAAGTGTTATGTGGGACACCCGGTATATGTTGCATTCGCACTTTGGTTCACACCCTATTAGTTGTGCCAAATATAGGGAACTAAATAAAAGGAACCAAATATATATACATTTTCACTCCCACAATTAGTCAAATACACTGACGTCATCCGAGGTCATCAAGATGGCAGCGTTTGACAACTAGCCGGTTTTCTCAGAGTCAATGCTAATATTTTCGGAATTCATTTAAATTTGAGAGTGTGTCAACTGTGTTTTTATAGTTTGGTAAGTTTGTTACAGTTTCTAGACTGTGTAGATATCTGTAAAACGCACCATAACGTTTGAATATGCTTAAAAAATAATGTTTTCCAATGTGATGTACAGGTTAACTTCGCTGCATCTTATATTATTTGTTTTGCAGATTAATTCTTTGTTAATGTACATCAATGTTTTTTAAATACACTAGCATCTGAATATTATAATATTTTGTCTTTTAAGAGAAAATGCTTAAATTTTGTGCTGTTGTCGGTTGCGCGAATCGAAGCACCAGAAATGCGGACAAATTTTATTTTCCTTTCCCAGCAATTAGCAACAATAAAGGTAAATATATACAGGACGGGGAAAAAAGGCGGAAGCTTTGGTTAAAAGCCCTGAAACGAGTGGATTTAACGAAGCCAAAGTAAAGTATTCCAATGTTTGTTCGGATCATTTTATTTTAGGTACAGTAACTACCTATTAGATTTACAGTTTCTAATATATTACAACATTGGTGCTCTTTTAGGTAAACCTGCAGATTTGTCGGATGTGGACCATCCTGATTATGTTCCATCACAAAATTTAGAATATAAAAATAAATCCACTCATAATACTTGTAATGTTGAAAGACACAGTCGTTTAAAAAAACGAAAACTGAATAAATGCCTCTAGACTTTTGAATGCACGAATTTCATTGTGGGTTATTTTACTTATTCCAAAAATAAAAAAGTTTAGAATGGTATTCATTTTTATGGTAGGGACATCGTCTAAACACAAATTAAAATCACTTGCACTCATTGTATAAGGATCTACGCCGTTTATAGTAGATTATATTATTAAGAGTATAAGTAAAGCTTTATGTGCTGAGCATGGACTGTTGACTGACGAACGTAGTGAGTCAGACATGTCCGTGCGAAGCACATAAAGTACTTAGACTCTGAATAATATATGCTATTTTTTCTTCAAACTTACAAGATTATAATAAAAAACAACGTATCAATAATTTATACATACATACATTATAATTTGTCTCCGAAAATCGTGATACCGATTTATAGTTACCGTATTCGAGATACACCCACATAAATTTTTATGGGACCAATCACTCAAAAATCGGTGCTCCTGAAACCGCAACCATAAATTATGAAAAGAGCTTGACAGGTCATTTTATACAGAGCCGTATTCGGGTTGAGTTGAAAGTTTTACCTGCTTTCGGTAATGTTATAGATATAATATTAGAAAATATAATAATCGTCCAGAAAGTTCTCCCGCTGTAGTAAATCTCATTAGACAACAATCAGAACTCATATCTTCTGAAAAATGGCAGAATTGTAATCGGCATGTTATACAAGTTGAATCAACATTTGTAAATACACGGCCTAACGAAATTATTATTTCAATAAATAACGACTCATCTGAGTTTGAAAGTGACTTATAATCTTATAAACATTATTTAACTAATACAATTTGTCTTTTATTTCACCTTATTTTTTTAACACAGTACGGCCCTGAAAAATTCTGCCGGAACGTGCCGATATCTGGTCGCATAGGGTGTTAAAAGCAATAAATTACTGTTGCCATTGTGCAGGGGTTTCACTCATTATCTGTCATAAAGTTTTATGTGGGTGTATCTCGAATGAAATTTGTATACAAAAACGTGTTTGGATATTGTTATGGAAACTTATCAAACAAAAAAAATCGCACTGTGAGAGCAATACTCACGTAAGTCAAAATTTGCCGAATTCTTAAATTTATCATTAATGCATAAAAAAGTTAATGTAATTTTAGTATATGTAAGTATAAACGGTTTTTAATAGTTGCGTAATGCTCAAATTCATCAAAATGTTTGTATTGCATTTCCGAACATTACGTGTGCACTTAATGCAAGACTGCCGTATCTCAAACCTAAGTGAAATGCGCGTAAGCATAGCTTCATAAAGCTATGAGATTTCAGTCGATGTTGATAATCTGATACTCCTACTAATTTAGGTACAAAATGAACACAACAAATGCACAATGTCTTCTGATATAGTTAAAAATTGACCGAAAACATGGAAAAGTAGGAAAGTTAATTAGAGCGAAATAATAGTCAATCAATTCCCGAACATCACGACAACGGCGGCATCAGATTTAAATGAAAATGATTAAACAATATTTATGAAGGTCCTTTAGCAATACGTAAAAAAATACGATGGAGTGAATCAATTATGTATAAAAAACGAATTAAATATAATTATAACACATTTTATAACAATTTAGCCATAGTACACTGACCGGCAAAAAAAAACCGGTCACCCTGAAAAATTTCGCAAAACGAAGCTTTAAAAATTATTAATTTAACTAGTGATCGTTATTTTATTAAAGAACCATTCACTATTTACATATAAGCCAATTAAACGCAGAATTAAATTTAATTTAACAAAATAACAGAAACAGAGTGACACTTTGAAAGACGTCTGTAAGAGTTAACGGAATTATTTTCGCGTGAATTTATTAATTGCCAAACTTTTAATCAAATGATGAAACACACTATTTACAACAACAGCCTCCTTTTTTGTTTTTTTTTTTTAAGAAAATATCGTACTTGGTCTGTTTCTGTTATTTTGTTAAATTAAATTTAATTCTGCGTTTAATTATCTTCTTTTTTGTGCTAATGTGTACATCATGTGTCAATAGCGAATGATTCTTTAATAAAATAATGAGCACTAGTCAAATTAAGTTTTAAAGTGGTTTTGCGAAATTTTGCAGGGTGGCCGGTTTTTTTTGCCGGTCAGTGTAGATGTTGAATGAATTAATACTGTGATCGTTTTGTGTTTTGTTGTATTTTTTTCATTACAATGTGTTGCTATTTTGCTCTTGTCTTAAATTTATTAACACGCAAGCCAAAATATTTGATATGGTGTACCAGTGCAATAGTCACGTAAGTCCAAATTTCTTGTTTTCTATAACGAGTAGAAGGGTCTACTCTAAAGGAATAAAAACACGATTAATAATAGATTGACAGTACGACTATAACGTATTTCGAAGCCTTTGGTATTTAAGATACAAATAATATATAAAAACTTGGGAATTTTAAATCATCATTACTCGAAACACGCTGGTTTTGAGTTACGTGAGTATTGCTCTCACAGTGCGAAATGTCAAAATTTTTTGCACAATGTCTGCATTTATAGAAACTCCACCTGAAATAGTTGAAATAGCGAAAGCTGCAATCGAAAAACTTCTTCCGACAAACTCCAGTGTTGTTTAGGAAGCAGCTTTCAAGAGATTTACTACTTGCTGTTACCAAAAAAACGCAGTCGTTTACAAAGAAAGTGTCCTTCTGGCGTATTTTTCGGAGATGTCCAAAAGCTTGAAAAGTTCCAGTTTGTGGTCTCATTACTCGATGAGAAGAACTTCGGCGACTTTACTTGTCGACATCAGCGCAGAAATTACCACCCTCAAGAGGCATGGAGGTTAGCGATCAACCACAGTGTCCCAAGGATACATCGAGGATTCATTAGCAAACAAAAGGAATATTGGTAGGAAGATTTTGCCAAAAAATGAAAGCAACAGCAGCGAATTTGAAAACTACTAGTAGTAGTAACGAAAGCATTACTACCATGAACTTCAATTTGAACGACTCGGTTAACAATAGTGATTTGGAATAAATTACAAGAAACTGTCTTTTTCAGGATGCGACGAATTGTACCTTTAATATTAATATTAACAATTATAAAAATTAGCAATAAATAATTAGAATAATTAAACCTTATGTTTGATCATACTGAATCAAGCGTTTTTAATAACTCATAATCAAGTAACTTAGACTTATATGCTTAAACTTATAAACACTTTATCTGATTAATCATATAAGTGTAAGTTTTACTCTGAAAATGAAGTCATTAAAACGTCACTTATATGACGTTTGGAGAAAAAATTGTTTAACTTTTGTACATATCTGTTTTTCTCTTTGACGGAAAGACATCGTGCATAATCACTTAAATTATCCATACTTTAAAAACAAATCACACACCTTCACTTAAACCCATCACATTAATCTCAAACGAAAATATTAATTTCCGATTTACCGGTTAAAACACGGATGTATTTTGGGTGACGAGGAATTCAGACCAAAACAGCGTTCTGTATTTTTATTAGGTATTTTTAAACTCAAATCGCCAAAAAAAGCACCCAGATACACAGAAAAGATATGAAAGAAGCTATTCACGTGTTTATTTTCTAGATAAATACCCACACTTTTAAATAAAATGCGAAAATGTTAACATTGTCACTTAATGAAGTTTCACGGCGCTTATCAAACGCTGAGTTCCCGCCACAGCGTGACGTCACGTGTTATTGGCTAATTTCCAATAACTAATTGATCCACGAAGCAAGAAGTTTCACGCTTAGGAGTATGTTTGTAATGTGGTACAGGGACAAGGGCGTCTATGAAAAATCCGATTTTACCCGTCCACACGTTGTGACCATAAAAAGTTTGGTTATGTTAGCAACGCATAGCATTAGAGACCAGGAATGCAAAATCTAACATTTTTTTATGGCACAAGGAAGCATTTACGCAATTTTTGAAAGTGAGGAACGTAATCAGGAGAGTTTGGTGCAAACAGTTTGTGCGAAATCGCATGTCCGTTTTGTAAAATTTTACCGTTGCTTTAGTTCTCGATCATATTTTATATACACGATGATCGGCAGCATAAAAATGTCTTTAATGTGACGATAACTGGTTCACTTACCTTATATCACGTGTAGTCCATTCAATATAGAAGTCTACGATAATAATAATCTAACATCACTTACCAAACACGTCATCATTTAAAGTGAAATGTTTGCCACACACCCTCATATATTTTGATGACGGTTTACACATCATTCTCGAATATCAATTTCATGGTCATTGCCAAACCAGTTTGAAACTTTAACCCTTCTTCTATTTCTTGGCAAATGGTAAATGAATTTTTGTCTTTGTAGTATCCGTACACGCAACAGTTTGTTTTGTTTTATCCACCGATTTTTTCGTCTATTTGGACCACAAGACGTATTATAACTATTTACAACACTTTAACACAAAAACACCGAGGCACACCGATGTAAATTATTGTAAATACAATTGTAAACCACAGACCATGTAAACTGAAGGCATAGAATCCAACCACCCAACACCTAACTGGCGATGGGTCACCACTAGGGATGCGTAAAAAATACCGGTTTTCCACTAAACCGATTTTTTGCTGCGAAAGAACCTACTATAACCGGTTTTTTTAAAATTCAGTTATAACCTGATGAACCGGATGCCGTATGTCAGAACCTACTTGTAGGTTTTTTTATTTTTTATAGCAAAATAATGCAGGCAAAAAGCGTACGTGGTACGTTGGTGGTTATTGTACCTACCCAGTGTTGGTAAGCTTGGAAGTTATACGTTTGGGGGGCAAGTAAGATAGCAATAATTAAAAAAAGAGAACTAACAACGACCAGTGGTGATTGGCTGATTGGATTGGAAAAAGGGTGCTCGTGACAATTTTCTCGTGCTGTGGACATTATTATCACAGACTAGTGTGGTCTGTGATTATTATTTTCCCGCGCGTTGCAACGCTTTTGTACTTCCTAACCTAATTCCAAGTGCGTACATGGATAGTAGTCTGATTAATAAAAGTAAGAGAATAAGAGAAAGTCTACAAACAATCAAAAGTATTCATTTTCCAGCAAATCAAAAATATTCCTGTAAACTAGTGTTTGCATTATAGGACGACCAGCCAAAACATAGAAAAAGCCAAGTATGGGAGTTTTTCACCCGATGTAATAATCAAAACTGTAAGTGTAATTTATGCGGAAGAATTTACAAAACTGGTGGTGGGACCACAAACCTAAATAATCACCTTATTCGAAAACACCCAAAAGTCAATGCTATTAATTTCAAAAAACATGTCGCAGATGAAGCCAGAGTGAACAAGAAACCAAGGATCGACTTTGATTTGACAAACTCAACGCCTTCAACGTCTCATAGCAATGCAGAAGGAGGAGATGCAGCGAAGGAGATTGAAAATGAAGCCCTAGACTCTCAGCATGAGGTGAAGAATTAATTCTTAGATTTCATCATATGGGAAAATTTCTATAGTTATTTGAATATATTTTCTATCATAGGACAGTGATGACAGTTTTGAAGAGAATTTAATAGAAGTTCATAGTATCGGGAGTGCCAGTACCATTACTGCAAGCAGTACAAGCAACATAAACTATAATGGTAGTAACAGCTCGCATCTCTCTCAACCTAGTATTCACCAGATTTTTAATGCACAAAGATGTTATGAATGTAAATATCATACCTTCATAAAAAAATTAATCCTATGCATGGAAATTGTGAAGCTCTATTTGATATACACTTAATGTTTCAGCTGGAGGGTCAAAAGAAGCAATGTTAACCCAAGCTTTAATCTTCATGATATGCAAAGACAATTATCCATTGCAATGTACTGAAAAAGAAGGTCTCAAAAGGCTTTTAAAAGTAGCAGTGCCGTTATATCATGTTCCAAGTAGGAGTACAGTAAGTCCATTGGCTCTAACAATTTAAATCGGCAAAAATCTATTATTTTTAGATTGCAAAATATGTTGAACAGAAGTACAACAGCCTGCAAATATTTGTTAGCAAAAAATTGCAACAAGCTCACCATCTTGCCTTAACAACAGACATTGCAACAGTGATCAATGCGACAAGAAGTTTTATAGTTTTAACTGCCCATTTTATCAGTAAGATGAATTATTTTGTTTCTTTTTTCATTTAAAGATTTTAATTGATAGATGAAGAAAATAATGAAATGGTTACTATTGCACTTGGTGTGAGTAATCTGACACAGCACCATACAGCAGACAATATAAGCAATGATTTGCACACTATGTTGAATAACTGGAAAATTTTAAAAGAAAACATTGTTTCAATTACGACTGATAACGGTGCAAATATTGTTGCTGCTGTAAAGAAAATTATGTCACAGACTTCTAATCATTTCCATGTCAGTTGTTTTGCGCACAATATAAACTTAGTGGTAACAAAGGCATTAGGAAGTTGTCCAGATATTGTCACCATAATTGAAAAAGTAAAGACAATTGTTGCTTATTTTAAGCACAGTAATGTTGCACAAGATCAGTTAAGATATGAACAGAAAAATGAAGGAAAAAAGGATGGAACATATCTGTATTTAATACAAGAGGTTCCCACTAGATGGAACTCCACGTTTTATTGCTTACAAAGGTTTAAATACCTATCGGGTCATGTTGGTAAAATTTTACTGTCGTCTGAACACCAAAAAGCTCCACCAATGTTGACTGCTAATGAGCTGGCAATTATTGATGAGTGTTTGAAGTTACTTGGGCCATTTGAGGATGCAACTAAAAATATATCAGGCGAAAAATATGTCTCAGGAAGCTTGGTGATACCCATGACCAACTGTATTAAAACCTCCTTACATAGAATCAACGTCAGTAATCCCTTTGCTAAAAACTTAAAAAAAGAACTTGAGGCACAAATAGAAAAAAAACTTGATCCTTTAGAAACAAATATTCTTTTGTCAATAGCCACAATTGTAGATCCCAGATTTAAGCGTCTTCATTTTTCATCAGCAAGAAATGTTGCCAATGCCATTACAATAATAAAAAACGAAGTTAAAAAAGAACATCAGAATCAAGGATCGCTCACTCCACCAGTACATCCAAATATTATAGATGATGTAGATGGATGCATTTGGAATATCCATGATGAGATAGCCTCAAGGCACTTACCTGATTCAGATGGTTGTGATGGATTACCCGCAGAGTTAAAATTATATTTGAATCAACCGATTCAACCAAGAACTCGACATCCAATACAGTATTGGAAAGAAAATAAGAATGCATTTCCAGGAACGTACAAAGTTGCCATGAAATACCTCACTGTCTTGGGAGCTTCAGTTCCAGCAGAACGCCTGGTATCTACACTTAATAATGTTTGTTCTGATAAAAGAAGTCGTTTGACACCACAGCACATCAATGAGTTAGTATTTCTTAATTCTTTGGATAGTATTTACTGGAACATCTAATTTGGAATTCATTTTTTGTTTATATAATCCAGACTAATGTTTTTTTGTTAAACATGAAATACATTTTTGAGTTGCAACGATTTATATATCAATATTATTACCTATTCACCTTTTTTTTACTTTCACATTGAATTGGGAACAATCGGTTAACCTGCAAACCGGTTATTGCAGGTTCGGTTAAACTGTTGGCAATTAACCTGTTCAAAAATAAACCGGTTAACTGAAAACCGGTTTATTTTGTAGAACCGAACATCCCTAGTCACCACAGCAGAGTTGCCAACACAAACTAACCTTAAATTCTTAAATCAGTTTCGGGAGATACCGGAAAAAATCGGTAGATTTAAAAATGTTGAATTTTCGGATTATTTAAATTAACAACATTTTAGTCCCGACCACGGTTGTAGAATAGATAGGTTGATACACTAGCATACATTTGCATATCCCTGGTCAGCGACGCATATTGCCGATCGCGTCGCCTGGTTTTTGACGTTTTAGGGACACAGAACTCTATAGGCATCTGTCTATAACCGATGTAATTAATAAAAGAAATCGTACTTATCGACTCCGATCAAATGTCATTTGCAAATTTTGTATTGTTCATAAGGCAATGTAAACGAAAATCCCCAAAATAACTAGAATGATTTCCGCTCGACAAGGTAGAGGCGCTAGCTGTATGTGTCCTTTCCATGGATATAGGGATCGAAAAGAAGCGTCGCCATCCCAAGCCATTAGTGTACAAACCTATCTATTCTACAACCGTGGTCCCGACTGACCTATCAACGCCCAGCCCAAACCGCTAATGCTAAAAAGTTGAAATTTGGAGAGAATGTTCATTTTATACTGGAAGCATCGTTTAAGAAGGGATTTCTCGAAATTCATCCCCTAAGGGGGTCAAAAAGGGGTGATAAAATTTGTATAGACCGATATATCCACTGTCAATTTACATCGTTACGTGAAACCCGGTACATTTTAATTCTCTTCAATACAAACAAGGAAATACGTATTTAAGCATTTTCGGAGATTCGACCCCTAAGGGGATGAAAAATGGTGTCTAAATTTGTGCGGCCGAGTTTTTATAGGAAAAATATTTCTACTATAAATTGAAATTTTTACGTGAAACTTGGTATTAATGTTCTTCAACACAAATAATGAAACCGGTGTTTAAGCATTTTCTAAAATTCAACCCCTAAGGGGGTGAATGTGAAGGCTAAGTTTGTATGGGAAAATGGTTCTATTGTACGAGTATATTTAAATTTTTACGTGAAACTTGGTACTAATGCTCTTCAACACAAGTAATGAAACACGTATTTGAACATTTTCCGAGATTCAACCCCTAAGGGGGTGAAAAGTGGTGGCTAACTTGATATCGGAAAATTATTTCTATTGTAAATTTTTGACATGGAATTTAGTATTAATGTATAGTGAAACACGTATTTAAGCATTTTCCTAGATTCAACCCCTAAGGGGGTGAAAAATACTGGTTAAGTTTGTATGGGAAAAGTACTTTTATTGTAAATTTAAATTTTTGCGTGAAACTTGATATTAAATTAATGCTAAGGGAGTGAAATGTGGAGACTAAGTTTGTATGGGAAGAATATTTCTAATGTAAATTTAAATTTCTACGTGAAACTTGGTATTTGGCTTTTCAATACAAATAATGAAGCACGTATTTAACACTTTAACTGCCGGGAGTACCTGCTCAAACTTCATTGTGCGCCATGTAATTTTTTTTATAAAATAAATTCTCTCTAGTCTAGCTTTGACATATTTTGATGAAAAAAGCAAAAAAATCAATCAAATTAATCGAAAAAGACATGTGTGACAATTTGTCACACACGGCGTGGCGTGCATCACGATTACGTCACTGTGATGCATCGATAGCTTTCAAGTTCTTGCAAGATTTAGCAAGTTGCATTCTGATATTGAAGGTACATGCAAATTTTGTAGTTAGTGCTTATTTCGTTTGTGCAACTGATACGAGTGGTTGTGTTATAGAAATGTCGTACGAAAAAGAACAAGAATTTCTTCAAAAATTGGCAGATGAAGTTCTAGACATGAGCGATGATGATGTTGATCCGTTCTCAGATATAGACGACTCGGATGTAGATAAAAATTACGATCCATCTCAAACAGAATATGATTCTGAAGTTGAAACCGGCGGACCTTCGACATTAAAAAAAATAAAAAAAGGTAAAGTTTTTCATCCAATCATATCTCATTTTTATTTATTCCTATAAATGCAGACCGAGGAAAAAATCTGAAGACACATAGAACTATTTCTTCAAGTAGTGATAATTCCGAAGACGGTTCGGATTATTTGCTCATTCAAACTGAAAACGATCCTATCAGTGAGGTAGAATTTGTTGATAGCTCGAACGTGACGTGGAGAAAATGTTCAAGAAAAAATTTGAAAATTCTAAATTTTGTGAGTGACAGTGGAATTCCTAATGCCGTAAATGATGATTTGAGAGGAAAAAGTGAATTAGACATTTTCAAGTTTTTTGTGGATAATGAAATAATTCTTCAAATGGTTCGAGAAACCAACCGGTATGCCGAACAACAAATTAAAGAAAAAATTACCAATGAGTCAATCATAACACATTCACGACTAAATGATTGGACTGAAACAAATATTGAGGAAATGCACGTTTTTCTTGGAATATTGCTTTGGATGGGTTTAGACAAAAAACCATCGTTATCTTATTACTGGAGCCGATTACCTCTGTACAACAGTGGAGCGTCAAAGTACATGTCTCGTAATCGATTTGAACTATTGCTAAGAATGTGGTATTTCACAAATAATGAAGATTGTCCCCCAGGAAATCGCCTACATAAAATTCAATACCTAGTCAAATATTTAGTCTCCAAATACCAACTAGTTCTTGTACCAGGAGATAAGATTTGCATTGATGAGACTATGATTCCTTTTAGAGGACGCCTCAAGTTTAGGCAATATATCAAAGGAAAAAGACACAAATTTGGTATAAAAATTTTTAAGCTCTGTGTGACTGGCGGATATACACATAACATGAAAATATATTGCGGTAAGGAAGAACTGAATGATGAGGGTCCTGTTGCAGATCGAGTAGTTATGGAACTGACGAATTCACTTCTAAATGCTGGCCGAACTTTATACACAGATAACACTATGCAACAAATTAAAAAAAAATAAAATTCACAGAATGCACAGTATGTAGTTAAAATTTCTTACCTCAAACTCAATTGAGGATTATACTTGAAAGAATCGTATCACATCAGGTTTCAAAATGAAAAGGGTTTATTGAATTTTTTGAAATCATACAAAATTAATAAAACAAAACTTTATTTTTCATTGAAAAAGGTCTTTTTTGTCGAACGATTGACATTCCTATTGTAGCCAGATCTCGCAGTATCCCTCTGAAGACACCAACAGAAGCCTCAAGCATGGGTGGATACATAAAAGCGATATTTTTACGATTAAATGCAATCAAGTGTCCCAAAAAGTACGAAAAACAAAACA